TCACCTTTCATTTCATAAAAAAAATTTATGGAGACTCTAATAGTTCTCGAGATATTGCGACTTTAGTGGGAGCGCGTACCGCGGAATTAAACTCCGTAGCGAGGCGGAATATGAAGCGAGCGTACAAATGTGCACAATAGGGTGTCCGTAACAATTAATTTTCAAAATTTTGGATCCAATATGGCAGGTTCAAAATTTTAATTTTCTACATTTTCGAAGTAAATATTCTAAAACAACGTCAAGGGCGATATTTGGAAGCGCTATTTACGAATCTAATGTTAAAAATTTATTTTTTAAATTACCGAATCTAATATGGCATGGCGGATTCAAATTTTTTTTTTAAATATTCCTTTAATAATCGATTTTTAAGAGCAGAGGTATAAAAAGTTAAATTTCTATAAAAGAGTTTCGAAAACATCCCAATAATTATTTTTTGTAAATATTAATCTATAAATTAATATTTAGACTATTTACTTAAAAATGTAGAAAATCATAATTTTGAATCCGTCATAGTGGATCGAATAATTTGAAAAATAAAATTTTAACATTAGATTCGTACACTCAGAAAAAAATTTGTTCGAATCAACCAAATTTTGGTTAAATCAACCAAATAAATGCATTGCTATACAGTCAACCAAACGTTTGTTTGATTCAACCAAAAAATTTCTTCCAATACGTTTATTTGTATTAACCAAATGCTTATTACACTTAACCAAAAAACTTTATTTAATATAACTAAAAAATTTGTTTATTTCAAGAGAAAAGATTTGTTTGATTCAAATAAATAGTTTTAGTAAACGTATTTGGTTTATTTAAATAAATATTTTTGTTTACTTAATTTTGTTATTTATTTTCCTCTAATAATATTTGAATTTCCTAATTTAATATTTTCTAGTACGTATTATTGGTTAATTTATAATTTATTATATAATTATTGATATTTTAAAATTATACATATAATAAATTATAAATTAACCAATAATATGTATTCTAGAAAATATTAAATTAGGAAACTCAAACATTATTAGAGGAGAATAAATAACAATTAAGTAAAATATTATATATGTATTTCTTCATATAAACAAAATTACTTAATTGTAAAAAAACATTTGAAATATTACATTAAACATATTATAATTATGATTTTTATACGTGCACTCAGAAAAAAGTTTATTCGAAACAACAAACTGAAAACTTCACAAAACCTTTTTGTAAATATTCTTCTCACTGGTACAAATTAAATATGCAGTAAGTCAATGAACACAAGGTATTTAATATTTATTTAACCGACACTTATAATTTTTTTTCTTTGATTTACCGATTTAACAAATAAATTTGACGCGAACGCGGACTGTAGACAAGTGAGATCGCCATTTTTAAATTCACACATGTACAAAATTGTTTTATCGTGACAAATAAAATAGGTTAATTAAACAGTTTGGTTAAGTGAAATAAACTTTTTCTCTGAGTGTAAATAGCGCTTCCAAAAATCGCCCTTGACGTTGTTTTAGAATTTTTACTTTAAAAATGTAGAAAATCAAAATTTTGAACCCGCCATATTGGATCGAAAATTTGGAAAAATTAATTTCTGATATCAGATTCATGAAGAACGATCGAAAATAGCCCCGAGTAAGTAATTTTTTTGAATTTTTGACAACACTTATGTGTTAAAACCTTGGATATATTGTGGTGCATTTTTATGACCCACTTTAATCATCCGCCATTTTAAAAATTTTTCAAAATTAAATTTTTGGCAAAGTGCTATCTTATAGTGCAGCTAAAAATGAAGGCAAAAGTGACCTGGAGAATTTTTTGCATTAAAATTAAAAAAGTTATTAATTTTTTTTTAAAAAGTGCATTTTTCCTATGTATTTTTAATGGGAAATTTCGATGGATCTCTGGCACGTGTTAATATTAATCAATCGGCTTCAAATTTTGGGAAATTTTTTTTTATTTTATTGGAACTAAACTGGGGGGTGGCGTAAACAAAATTCGAAAGTCGCATTGTTACGGACACCCTATTGCGCACGTTTGTACGCTCGCTTCATATTCCACCTCGCTACGGAGTTTAATTCCGCGGTACGCGCTCCCACTAAAGTCGCAATATCTCGAGAACTATTAGAGTCTCCATAAAATTTTTTTTATGAAATGAAAGGTGAAATTACAAGGAATCGATATTTACTTATTAGAAAATTCAAAAATTAGGCCAACTGAACTAAAAATTAATTCAAAAAATTTTTTTGACTTTTTTTTTGACAAATTTTGGAAATTTTTTTTTGTTCATAATATTAAATTAAACTACGTATTTTTAACTATATCGCCTGTAAATTTTATTAAAATCGATCTAAAAGTTTCAGAGTTATTAATTTTTGAAAAAAACGCAACACTCATTTTCAATATGGCGTAGCGGCCGCCATTTTGAAAATTTTTCAAAATCCTTTTAGGGTTAAATTTAATTCATATAAGACTTCTATTTCCCAAGGTTTCGAAGAAATCGGAAGACCACTTGCAAATCGCTTTTTTTCTGACGGAGTCTTACCCTAATTCTTTATTTATTTTTACTTCCCAGTAAAGAGCCCTTTTTTTAAAAGAAAGCGTCAAATTATTTTTTAAAAAATTGTCAAATGTAAAAAGTTTTGTAAAAATCAGTCAAAAGTGTTGGATAATTTAAAAAGAAAGAAAAAAAGCAGAAATTTTTAGAAAAAAGGGCTCTTTATTGGAATTCTATATGAAGTAAGGATTAAAGTAAAAATTTGTTCGCAATAAAACGATATTTTTACGAGCGTCAATATTATTTTCGCCATACAAATTTACAGCTTTGACGTCGAAAATAACCTTCCCAGGCGAGAACTGACGCTGGACGGCTGGATTCAGGCTTTACGGAACCTTCGTTGAGGCTTGGTCAACATTGATCAAGCCTTGGTGGGACGGCGGAACGAAGGTCGCTTCTAGCTATAATGTAACACTTATTTAAGACTGACCCTCCAGTCTTTGTTGTAGATTGGCGTTCAATGTTCAATCAATGCTGCGGAACCCTATAATGCAGGACTGAAACAAGGCTGTTTCCACTGTTCCCAAATTTACGCGTCTCTCGCGCTCATTCAATATAATATGAATATATGAATTGTATATGTTACCGGTAAAACCCGAAGTCCAGGCATTTCGCGAAATGCCTAGGCAAATCGGGAAATACCTAAAATCTCAGGTATTACTCGAATTTCCTGGCCATTCTTAGGTATTTTCCGAATTGCCTAGGCATTTTCGTGAATTTCCTAGGCATTTCGCGAAATGCCGAAGTCGATTTAGGCAAATTGAAAAAGTTATTAAAAAATTAATTGTGTATATGTGTATTGTGTAATTAATTGTATATATTTTTTGCTGGTTATTTGTTGCAGCATGTCGAACTACTGTGACACTTCGAATTACAAAGTAGCCCTTTTTTCCTGCATAAGCATCTTTTTGTTTTGCAGGATGTCTGACAGTGGCAGCGGGTAAATCCTTGTCCATTAGTATTAGATTCCTGAGTCGCTATACTTCGCAAGGAAATTGTTTCATCTTGTGGAACGTCTTGCTCGTCAATAAAGGATGCCTTACATTTGTCAAATTCGGACCTGTAAATAAAAATATTAAATTAATAAGTCATATCTGCAAATTAAGTAAAAGAAAATGTAAAGCCAACAGACCTGCAGTATAATCTGTTTATAATTCCTTGTCTCGTTCCAATCCTATGGAGCTCGTCTTTTTTCTCTAAAACCACACCAATTACATTTCTGAAATCGCTTTTGGCCTTGTCAACATCTGGTATCGGGATTGTGACATTATCTCCAACTTCAACTGGACGATGACTTTTATCGGAAGATATTTTCATTCTCTTTGCTTGAAGTTCGAGTCCTTCTGCTGCTCGCTTCCTGGCTGAAAAAATGTTTTCTTGTCGAGAATTATTTAAGTCTTCCACATTTGAAGCCGAAGGTTGATTTTCTTGTCGAGAATTATTTAAGTCTTCCACATTTGAAGCCAAAGGTTGATTTTCTTTTGGAGAATCATTTGAATCTTCCACATTAAAAATTGATTGTTGAGTCGTATCTTCATATGATCCATTATTGCCTAAGACACTGCGCAGATCATCTTCGGTCTGAATATTTTGTACGACTTCGCTGGGTAATTTAGTGGTAGAAAGTCCTACTTTAGGATCAAAGCCAAACATAGCCTTGTAAGGTGATTGTTTAATACCAGAATGCAAAGACCTGTTCTTCATAAATTGAATGAATTTTAAACCTGCGGACCATTTAGTGGTTTTATTTTCTCTCATCCAAACAGCGAGCATGTTTTCTATATCCTGGTTTGCTCTTTCCACAGACCCTTGACTCTGGCTATGTCTAGGTTTTCCATGAACTATTTTTAGTTCTGGCCACATTGATGCCAATTCAGTTATAATACGGTTAACAAACTCTCGACCATTGTCGGATTGAAGAATAACAGGAGCGCCGAATGTCAGGAAAATGTCCAAAAGTTGATAAGCAATCTGTTAAAAAATATAAATAAGAATAAATAAATTCCTAATATAACAACTATTAAAAATTATATTAAATAATATTATATTACATAAATAATATAAAAAATAATAATAATAATATAATATTATTATATTTATTATTTATTTTATTTTTTTTATTTTTCTATAATTAACTATATTAATTTGAATGTTCTTTCATTCTTTCACTTTTTCTGTCCCTCATACTCTGAAGTTGTCTTTTATTTATACTTTTGTTTTTTGTTAACATTAGAAAGATTGTATACTAATTATTTTTATTTTATAATAATTAATTCAAAATTATAATGACAAATAGAAATCATCCGAATTTTTTTCACATCTTTTCATTAAAAGACTAAAATTTTCTTAAATATTATGTTTTGTCAAATTGAAATTATTTTTGTTCTTTACTTGAACTCGCAAGAACTCACTGTATATCAAAATATTGACAGTAATAATGAAATATTAACTATGTAAATAAAGCTTTATTAATCTGTTAACAATACTTTATTTCATATTATTTTACTATTAAACTGTGTAAATAAAGGTTTATTAATTGACATTAAACTTTCGTATTTTACAATATTTTCTACATCTCTGTTAATAATATTTTATTTTATATTATTTTACTATTAAATAATTAATTAAATTAATAAGTAATAAAATTTTTTTCTTACCTCTTCTGCACGTTTTGATGTTAGTGGTCGAAGGAGAACAAATTTCGTGAGATGATCTTGATAAACCATGATAAATTTAAATTGTTGATCAGCTTGCGACTGTAAATCGATTAAATCAACTTGGCATCGACTATTCATTTCAGAATGAAGAATTGGTTTTGAAACTAAACCGCGTTTCCTTTTCACTTTTTTCAAATGGCATATTTCGCATTTGGATAAAAACGTGTTCACAACGTCACGCGTTATGTTGGCATATTTTTTGTTTGTTTCGTCCAACATTCTGTCGCGACCTCCATGACCAGTAGCAATATGTGATGCTTCCAAAATATTGAACATTTTTTCGAGAGGAACATAATATTTTATTTCCCCATCATTGCACTTGGCAATTAATTTTGATACACCAGCAACTTCTAATATATCGTACCTTTTTATTCGTCTATATTGCCGACTAGTTTTGGGTCCGTTCAACTTCACTTCATGCATATCTTTTAGTATCTCGTCGTATTCTTCCTCGAGTAATATTTTATAATTTTGTGAATTTTTTAATGCACTGAAAAAATCGTTTTGCCAATTTTCTCTCACGTTATCGTTAGACATATTTAAATATTTACGCGCAAGCGATCGAAAAAAACACTGTGAACACGAGCGAACAATCACTCAAACTGATAGACAGCTGTCGATTACTAATTGCTGTTCGATAATAGACAAATAATTTTGTAAACAATCTGTTTACATTAGTATGCGGCTTTGAATGATCAACTTTTCAATTTGCCTAAATCGACTTGGGCATTTCGCGAAATGACTAGGTATTTCGCGAAATGCCTAGGCAATTTGAGAAATGCCTAAAATTTCTAGGTAAAACTCGAATTTCCTGGCCACTTTTAGGTATTTCCCGATTTGCCTAGGCATTTCGCGAAATGCCTGGACTTCGGGTTTTACCGGTAACATATATAATAATAATATTCATAATAATAATAATAATAATTATTATTATTATAATAGTAATGAATATTATTGATATTATTTTTATTCATGTTATATGCGTTTGTTTGGAAATAAGTTACAATTATAATAATTATATTAATTTTATATAAATAATATATTACTAACAATAAATGTCATTTGAAATAGTAATATTAAAAAAATAATTTTAGTAAAAAAAGACAATTTTTCTGTTAATCGATACATTTTTTTCTCGATTTTTTAGCAGACTTTTTAACATTATTTACAAACATGTTCACAAGTTTTTATTCACAACACAACACACAATTTTATTATTTTATATAACGCTTAAAACAAAGAATGAAAAATATTCGCTCTCGCATGTGGGATCGAACTCACGCACCCCGCCCCTAACGCATACCGGAAGTCCTAAACGCACGCATTTAAACCGCTCGGCCACAGAAGGCTGGAAGGCACCTCGGCTAATCTACTATTTCAATGCCAGCGCCGTATATTCTGTATATACGGCGCGTCACTTAATATTTGTTCAGCATGGGACACCAATGTTCGTCCCATGCTCGATTAAAGACTCGGTCAATCTTGATACAATATTCACTTTCTTTATTACCGTGTGCACTGAACAATATTAAATATCAATATTTATAAATTATTTATTATTAAAATATTTTTTATGATAATTATATAAGTTAAATTATATATATTATTTTTTTTCTTGTACAGTGTCAAATTATTATTTCAAAGTTTAAGAGTTTCGTTTATCTGAAAAATTATTAGTGAAAAAAATGTTCATTAGGTAGTAATAAATATTTATGCTTAGTAGTTTTACACTAGGATTAACTGTTTAGTAAATATTATCAAAAAACTATTTTTTGTCAAACGCGCGCGACTAAACACAAATAACCTTGAAACTCCAGCATTACCAACTCAACACATACGTTAAACTCTTGAGTTGGCAATGCTAAAGTCTCAAGGTTATTTGTGTTTAATCGCACGCGTTTGACAAAAAATAGTTTTTTGATAATACATATTTACTAAACAGTTAATCCTAGTGTAAAACTACTAGGCATAAATATTTATTACACCCTAATGAACATTTTTTTTCACTAAAAATTTTTCAGACAAACAAAACTCTTGAACTTTGAAAACAATTATTTGACACTGTGCAAGAAAAAAATAATAATGTATAATTTAACTTTATTTATATAAATCTTATATAATTAATAATAATAATAAGTATTATTATTATAATAAAAAAAATAATATTTAATATTTATTTTTAATTTAATATTTTTTTATAGATAATAATAATAATAATAATAATAATAATAATAATAATAATAATAATAATAATAATAATAATAATAATAATAATAATAATAATAATAATAATAATAATAATAATAATAATCCCCGCCGATGGTTGTCCACTACCGAACATCATCGATGTCTTTGACGTACTGGGAGAAGCGGATCCACTGCCAAATATCATTGATTTCTTTGATGTGCTGTGAGAAGTGGATCCACTGCCAAACATCATTGATTTCTTTGATGGGCTGGGAGAAGTGGGTCCGCTGCCAGACATGATTGATTTCTTTGATGAGTTGGAAGAAGTGGGTTCGCTGCCAGACACGACTGGCATCTTGGATATGTTCGGTAGACCTTGCCGTGGTGGCGGGGCTTTTCACTAAAGGACAACCAACAGGGTGGTTCCCTGATTTTAAAACCAAAAGAAATGAATGAAATGGATAAAGAATCACATAAATTACTCCAAGTGGGTACCTCGAAAGAGGGTAATCCCACCACCGATTCTGATCGGGTGCAAGCCTCGATAGTCGGTGCAGATGGCTCCAGGGATTTTGGAGGGAGCCAAATAGATAGCCAGGTGACATGCTACGAATCAAATGTCGCAAATCAGTTCCTGGCTATTCCGGGAATTTTTAAAAGCTTGCGCCAAGGATTCAAGCGACAAAAAAACGTCGGTCGTGACATCCAGGATGGCGTGACGGTTTTGGAAAATGCGTTCGATATAATCTGTAAGAATTTACGTTTTATCCCCGAGCCTTTCAAAGACCAAGAGCCGCAATTTCCAACTGTGGAAACTCCACGGCAGACGAAGAGTGTTATTGCAACCCGGGATAGCGCGGCTGCAGGCGCAACTAAGACGAAAAAGGTTAATAAGCGCCCTAGGGAAGGAGTAAGCCCGGATGTGAGTCCACAACGAGCGACTCAAAGTGAAAAGAGGATTAAGCGAAAGGATGCTCCACAGCTTAATCCTGAGTCGCTAGTTGAAGCAAAAGGGGCGTCCTCAAGTAGTCCTAGTAAGACGTATGCCGATACCGTCTTGAAAGACGGAGCGGACATTGAGGATGACTTTAAGGTTGTTGGAGAAAGAAAGAAACGGGCTCCAGGAAGAAAGACCAAAGGAGAGAAAAAAGAGCTCACGAAGCCCCCTTCGAAACTCAGGTCCACGGAAGCTGTGAAGATCACGGCAAGAGACCCAAAGTTTTACGAGGGTATCTTGCCGCTGATAAAAGAAAAGGTTAAACCTGAAGATACAGGCACCGTGGTACAGAAAATCAGGAGAACTTTTAAACAGGAAGTTCTCCTGATAGTGAAAAAGGGTGGAGAGACCTTAAAATTTGCGAAAGGTCTGTCCTTGGCCCTGCATGGCAAGGCCGAGGTCATACCTCTTGTAAATAAGAGGTCTCTAGAAATCAGAGACCTGGATGAAGCCACTACAGAGAGTGAGGTGACTTCAGCATTGGAAGAAAAGCTGGGCAAGTCCGACCTGCCTATAGAGTGAAAATTACTGCCGCGCTACAAAGGAACTAAGGTTGCTCTAATCCGCTTGGCAGAAGCAGAAAGTGACATTCTGCTTAAACTTGGCCGAATCAAAATCGGCTGGATAAATGCTCAAATTCGCGAGCATGTTGAAGTAGCTAGGTGCCAAAAGTGCTTAGCCTATGGACACTCTACCCGAACCTGCAAAGGCCCCGACAGAAGTAAAAACTGTCGGAGATGCGGCGGAGAGGGACACCTCGCGAAGAGCTGTAAAGTGAAGCCGAAGTGCCTTACGTGCTTGGACCTGGGGAAGCCAGAGACGGATCACGATTCCGGAAAGAGAGCCTGCCCGGTTTACAGAGAAGAACTGCAAAAGATTAAAAGGGCAAATCCTTAAAATTTTTGCAGGTCAACCTGCATACAAGTAAGGATGCACAGTTGCTCCTAATGCAAACAGCAAGGGAAAATGAGGTCGATATCCTGTTCTGCAGTGAGCAGTATCAAGGAAGCGACCTCGCCCCTTGGTATCAGGATAAGGCAAAGAGAGCCGCCATAAAGCTGTGCAACCCAGAATTGCGGGTTGACAAGTTTCTGGAGACGAGCAGTGGGTTCGTGTGGATAGAGGTGGCTAATATACGTATGTATAGCTGCTACTTCTCACCCAACGACCCACTGACAAACTTCGAAGCCAATATCGAAGACCTAGAAGCGAGCCTCACAGAATCCAGGCTGGATGTCATCATCACTGGTGATTTTAACGCAAAGTCGCCAGAGTGGGGTGAGACGAGACTCGACAAGAGAGGAATTCGTATTGGAGAAATGATCTCCAGAAACGACTTATTGGCAGTAAACCGAGGCAATACATAGACTTTTAGACGAGGTGCGATCGGATCAATTATAGATCTAACAATCGCATCGTCTAAACTTTTTAGCCGCATAACCGACTGGCGGGTCTCTGAGGAATATACCGCAAGTGACCACCAGTATATTGAGTTCTCAGTCTCGATGGGAGACACACGAGGAGGAAAAAGACAGGATGCTCCTAGTCGCAAAACCTCCTCGTGGAATATGAAGAGACTCGACAAGGAAAAGTTCGGCCGGTCCCTAAGAGAAGCCCTTTTAATTGAGGACTTGGGCTGGGTGAAGAGGCCGAAAAGTCTAAATGGAGAGGTGCGAGCGGTGCGAAATATAATCTTCACCGCTTGCAATGCGTCGATGCCACGTCGCAAAGGAGCCTTTTCAAGGAAAAAATCCTTGCACTGGTGGTCAGAAAAGCTGGCCTCCTTGAGAAAGGAATGCCTCAAAGCAAGAAGGACATACACCCGATCTAAGGGAGATCCCTTGCTGAAAGAGGCTTTCAAGGAGGCGAAAAAGAACCTCAAGAAAGAGATCCGTAAGTCGCGACGCCGTAGCTGGAAGGACCTAATCGAGGAAGTCGACAACGACCCATGGGGTCTGGCTTTTAAAATCGTGACTAAGAAATTAGTGACGAGGCAAAAGACCCCCGGCCTGGACAATCCCGATTGGGTCAGAAAGATAATAAGTTCTTTGTTTTCTCCTGCGGAGCCATACCTTAGAAGGGACTGGAGTTTTTGCAAAGTCGAAGAGGAAGAACTCTTCACACTTAGTGAACTGCAAAAAGCAGGCAAAAGATTGAAAACAGGCAAGGCGCCTGGAATCGATGGGATAAGTAACGAGATCCTAAAGTTGGTAATCGACACTTCACCCCAGATTCTGCTTCGATGCTTCAATCTTTGCCTTGAGAGAGGAGAGTTCTTCCGCGACTGGAAGCGACAGAGGTTAGTCCTCCTAAGGAAAGGTGAAAAACCTCTAGATAAGGTTTCATCGTACAG